AAAACGTGAATTTTGAAAATTATAGACGTTTAATTGCAGATTAAATTAAACGTACCTAATAAAAACATAGTTTTGTGAAGTTATTTCTCCACAAAGTATCCAATCCTGCATCAACTTGATTCATTATTATTTGTACAGGGCGTATCTGAAAGTAAGTAAAAATATTTTAGGATGTAGGTACTTAATTCCTTATTCCTTGGTCTTCATCACCGGTTTTGACAGTATACATCAAACATCTTCAGATATATTAACGGAAATATGTACTTAGTATAAATGAGTGTCTGCACTGTCTGCTAAATAATAATGGTCCAAATTTCAATACTAGATTATATGATACAAATTAATGGAGGTGGATGATAGCTACAACTTTTATAGTTAGCATTTTTCTCTGAACTCTAACCAGAAAGTTAAAGTGGATGACATTTATACATAATTAATAATTAATTATTATTAATGTATTTTGTAGCACTGAATAAAACTCTGTTTTTCTTGAAAATGATGCATACATAATAATTTTCAAAGTAAAATGCGTACGCTTATATTTAAAAAAGGACCCTTGTGAATTTTGTTTAAATTGTCTTGAAAGCAAAGCATCTATCTACAAATTTTTATATGAATTACCCCCAATAATTTGGTAGACTCTAGTGGTAAAATTTGGCCCATTTCTTAGCAGACGCCCTGTATATTCACAATGAAATGAAAAATTATATCTTTCAGTGCCTATACAAGTTGCTGGCTAGACACAAATTGTGATCTGAATCTTCAATCTGGTTTTAGAAAGTCTAACGAGTCGAAATACGGAGAGGGAGATTGAAGTATCTGAGGAAAAGGATCGAAGTTGCATCTAGCATCTAGCAATCCAAATGAAAAGTTTCCTCACTTTATTCTCCATGGTTCGTTTATCATTTATCTTTTGTTTACAACAAAATGACGCCATTTTTTTTTGAGTTTTATATTAAGAAACAGAGGAGTTTATGTCATCATAACAACAAACAATTTCAAAAGGCAATGTTTTAAAATTAAATCAATTTTATAAATTCCATTTTTCAAAACTACTCGTATGATACATGTCCATTTATCGATTTTTTTTATTAATTTTATGTTATCAAAAATATACAGGATTGTTCGGAAATGAGCGCAAAAAATTTGGGGATTGACGGAACATAAAAAATAAGATCTTTTCTACGAACCATGACCACATCATCGTCTTATTTTTATGGTGCTGAGGGCATCAAATATGTTTTTTTTTTCTTAAATTTTAAATTTAATAAAATAATTTTAAATGATACAGGTAAGTTTTTGGTGGTGCAAATACATCAGTGCTCATGGGCGTAGCCAGGAATTTTCCTAGGGAAGCCNTTTTTAATTTTATGTTATCAAAAATATACAGGATTGTTCGGAAATGAGCGCAAAAAATTTGGGGATTGACGGAACATAAAAATAAGATATTTTCCTACGAACCATGGCGACATCATCGTCTTATTTTTATGGTGCTGAGGGCATCAAATATCTTTTTTTGGTGACTCTTATTTCAGCTTATATCTTTTGCAATTGCAATGAAATATGGTACAGGAAGTTTTTGGTGGTGCAAATACATCATTGTTTATGATCGTAGCCAGGAATTTTCCTAGGGGAGACCTTGCTAAAGTGATTCTTCAATTTGACTGTTTTACACTAATCGCGCGCCTCAATTATCTAAACAAATAAATAATATAGGTACCTACTTGTTTCTGTTTAAATTTTTATATTAATTGAAATAGTACAGAACGAATGGCCATTAATAATAAAATGTAATTTTTGAAACTTGTAGCATGTAGCAAGTATTGTGCCCCCTCTGCTCCCCTTCTGGCTACGCCCATGTCAGTGTTATTTATTTTTTACCATCTGCGTTCTACGATCTCTCCCAGTAACATTAAGGTTAGATTTTTACAATATATGTTGTATATTTTAGTAAAAGTATACAACAACCTTTGAAGTAAATAATATTTGCCAACAAAACAAAACAAAACATACGACAAAAACTTTTCTTAGCGGTATTTGTTAGAGGTAATAACTAAACTCATATTCATTTTCAGCTACCCCAAAATCCCTTTCATATCAAGTGATCAGAAGTGTCGTAAAACATGAAATAAACAATTTTTCTTGAAGGCCGATGACCTTTATGGAAGTAGAATTATATCAAGACAACTTGATCGAAAGTAGTTTATTTTCACACAAAAATGCTACCTACCCTTAAAATATGTCACATTCTTTACTGGACATCCCGTATATTTTTTAATAAATAGAAGTAATTAACTATCGAAGTAATTAACTATTTTAGCGAAAAAAAGATCAAAAACTGAATCGGTGAAACAAATGTTGATACTAGGGAAAATTAGAAGTTAGTAGGATCTAGGTAACCTAAAATCTACGGTAAAGTTGCAACAAAACAGTTCACATCAAGCTAAAACCCTTATGAAACCCTCGTCGTCCCCAAAGTCATTTTTGGGGTTTCGCAATCGATATCTAGACCGAGAGATAAGAGGGTCTACATCAGAGGGTCATTTCATTCTGAGGAAAATGGAGGAAATTCTGACAAAACTTTATAACTTCATATTAAATGTTCTAAAAGAAGTAAAATTCAATTTTTATTTTGTTAATTTATTGCCTTCTTCTCTTCACTTGATGGTAATTTTTATAGAAATAATTTTTAAAAGCTTAAAAAATCGCAAATATTTAAAAATCTATAATTTTAACCCTCATAATCATTATACATTAAACGAAAAAACGTTTAATTTCATATAGGTATACCGTCCAAAAAAAAAAAATTTAATAAAATAGTATTTAATTTGTAATAAAACAGTTTTGCCAGTTTGAAGATATTTAAATGTAACCGAAAAAATGGAACGCTTAGTATATTTCTTTTGAACCTATACAGTGTAGCCCGCTATGCACCAAAACATTAATTTAACATTTTTTTAACGCATTTGATGCGAATTAAATTATTTTTTATCAGTTGGACCATGGTTTGCTGAGATTTTTTAAAAACAATGTTTGCTAAATTCACTAGAGATTTTTTTTATGAATTTTAGTTAACATCAATTAAGAAGATTTTTTGTACAGGCTTAAAGTTTTTTAAATTTATGAAATTTCTATTACAAATTCAATATCTAGGAGGTACTGAAAATACCTGAATAAAAAATTATTTTCATAATTTTCGCAATTCACAATTTTGGGTCCATTTATTATTTGCCACTTCTGATCACCAATCTCAGTAATTTTCTAATTTTTTATTGTTAGAAATTTCCAATGGTTTATAAATTTTTTAAAATAAAAAAAAAATTTAAAAATGTTTAAAAAAATTATTTTGCATTCTAAATTGTGGAAATATTTAAAGTGATGCTGATTAAGATTATAAAGCTGTTTTTAATTCTTAAAATTATTTTTTTTCCCGCGAATCACTTTTACAAAAAAGTAGTAGGCCATACATTACCAACTGCATAATAGTTACAGATTCAGAAAGTGCATCTAGAAGGCTGCGATATATAGAAAATAATTATAGTGTGGCCTCTTAGTGGGCTACACTGTATATTCATTATGAAAGAAGGAATTATGATCGCACACATCGCACACCATACCAAAAATTAAATGCTCATCTGTCAAAAGAAAAATGTTGAAGATTGATCATTCAGCTGTCAAAATTTTAACAAAATGTTAAATATCTCTGCGGATATTGGACATAGCTATGTATAGTAGGATATGTTATTTTGAATCTGCTAAATTAGATAGGGTGTTTCCTTAAAATGAGAAAATTAGCAGTTTTGATATAATTCTTGAATAGAACATATAGGTACAAATTTTAATTATAAATCGATTTTCGAATTCGAAGAGATTTAGAGAAATTTAAACACAATATTTTTAAGTGATTAATTAATGCAATGACAATTAAGAAATTCAAGAGAAACCTAAAACCACAACGATTTTCACTAAACATTTCTATAAACAATATTAGCAAACCTAATAATGGAATTAATTCATGTTTAAGAAAACGATGAAAATTATCATATACAGAGGGCATCCACAAGTTATATTTCGGGAAAACCTGTATTAAATTTTTACATCGATTTACAGATTTTGAAATAGGTGTGATAGAGTGGTAGGTACAAAAAAATGAGTTGTTGGACATACTTATATCAAACAGGTAGGAACCTATATACAATTTATACATTCACTGGCATAAAGAATAATATACAGGACTTTTCATAAAAATCGTTTAAAAATTTTCAATATTTTTAATTTCCATTTTATTTTTAATGAGGAAAATGGCATTTTCCAAAAATTTTCTGATGTCAATATGATGATAAATATGCCTATATTGTACGCATAATTTACATATTTTTTGTAGATTTTTCTAAATGTGATTTATACATTTACAAATTATTAATTGGTAGTTTCATCATTTATATTACAGTTACTCATTAAATACAAATAAAAAAGTTACATCCACGAAGCGATAAAAAACCTGATGCCTAGAGCACTTTCCATGAACCTGTAATTCATTAAAATGCGTTGAAATACTGTTGCCAATAAATAAACCAATTACGAACTCTTTAAAAATGTTTGAGCGATAGCGTGTTGTCCTTGTTAATAGGTATCCCCCCTCCTCAATTATAACTCCAATTTATGGTAAGCGGTATCTCAAATCTCATTTCCATTTGAATTGTTTGCTGTGAAGCATAATAAATACCCCCACTACGGCGTACGTGCTGTTGCTAGGCGAGAACCGTCGACAGAGTTTCATACGGATACCGGTTCAAACAAAGGGAGTTTCAAGAGTTTCGTTATCTCTCTCTCCCACTTCGAATGGTTTTAAATGGTTGTCCGTGGTTCGCTTGCGCCAACCCACCCAGATTGTGAGCAACCTAACAACCATAGCCTATTTCCGTCCCTCACCCCCCCGGAGTTACCCTGCCCCTTGCCCCGCTGTCACGCCGTAGCTCGTCACTAAACTAGACTTGAGTTTCTGTGCCGAGTGTGCTTGTAGCTTAAAGTTTTCTCTCTATGCTTATATGACGGTCGTATTCGTATTATTATTACGGAATATCTAATAAGTAAGAACACCGGCTATATACTATTTCCGGGTAACAGTAATTAATTAATTTGTGATCGTCGGGTATTAGTGACAGTTAATCACTACAGTGGTGGAATTTAAGTTATAGCCAGGCACTATTGTCTGCCTTAGCTGTTAACAATGCTTGTGAGTATTTACAGTGGTTTTAAATCTTGCGCAATGCGTTTGGTGTTTTACTCGTTTGTTAGTTATGATTTGATATGATCTACCCAGGTAGTACCACTAATTTATTGTCATGCACTTTTTTTTTATTTAAGTCAGATATTTATTAGAATTGGCACCTAGTATGAAGTAAAGTACATAAATTTTAGATTTTAGATTTTTATTTTCAGACATAAATATAGACCTGGTTAATATTTTTCCAGGTCGGACATTGACGTTCAATTATAAGTTAATGTGTCAGTTATGTAAACGTCAAAATGGTTTCATGGAAAAATGCATCTGATTGTTTATGCATTTACAACAGTTTACAGTACTTTTACTTTATTAGATATAGTGATAACTGCGATAAGTTAAGTTTCTAATACTACATAGGTACTTAAGTAGTAAATAGTTTTGTTGAATGTTTTTACACCTTGAAGATAAATATTATGCTCTAAAAAACATGGCGCTAGTTTTAACTAAGTGTATTAAGCATCTATCTATTTTGGATTGTATTGTGTATTACCTACCTACTTTTATTAGTTATTTCAATAAATATGGTACAATCAAAATATATACCAAGTTAAATTATGTTGTACAGAGTGTATCTGTGTAGGTATATAATAATGATTATCAATACGCCTAAAAGCTACATATATTTTTTTTTGTAAAGTACATAAATAAATATACCTACAAGCATAAATAAATAAAATACAATTAGTATTTGTACTTAAGTTGCTCAAAATTACCTAGCAGTGCAATTTTAAGAGAATGTACATCATGAAAACATATGCTTTATTTATTATAAATGTTTGTAGAATGTTCAAGGTTTTCGAGAGGCACCTACCTAAGCCTAGGCATCTCTTTATTTTATACTTAACACCACAAATTTGTATGGTGTTCTAATTTCAAATGAAAATAATATACAGTGTGTTTTTTAATTCCATGTCACAACTTCAAGTCGTTGTTTGTTAGATTACCTATTTTAGACTTAAAAGCCTTAATCAAGCAAAGATCTAAGAAAAAAAACTCTTTTTGACAGTTTAAAAAAGTGACGGTTATTATATTGAAATGCCTTCCAAGAGGTTTGATCTAAATTGATGAAACTTAGACTAATAACTTATTATTAGTATTTTTTGACAAAAATAATTGTTAAATTGGTTCGCAAATCTGTTAACGATGGTGGAGATACCAGAATGTACTGTCACTATGGGGTATTTTGGAAATTAAATAAAGGCATTTTGTTCCCATTATCATTTTAAAAAGAAAAGAAAAAAACGGGCCAATTTCTTAAATTTAAAAGCTTGTCCCACAAATATCTAAAAAAAGTTTAAAAGTATCATGTTACAAAAAAAATGTATACTTAGGTTATTTTTGTTGAAATGATACTAGAACGTTTCTTTTCAAAATGCAGTGTTGAAACATTAAAATGTTACATTAAAAAAATTACATTTGTGTAAATACCTAAAATCGAGGTTAAAAATGTATGAAGTAGGTTGATAAAATTTGGAGTACCTAATGACTTAACTAATTATGGGCAAATATTCGAGTTGATACACAAATTTATCAACAATCAGTGTTACCCCGAAAACTCCCGTATACCAAATTTGGCGCGAATGTGTTATTTTTTGAAAATTTCGTCGGCCATCTTGGATCCGCCATCTTGAATTTTGAAAAATTGACCTCGGATCCGTGATCAACGACCCCGAACATCCCCGTATGCCAAATTTGGCGCGAATCTGTTATTTTTTGAAAATTCCTGATAGCTTGACCAGTTTTTTTGGAGGTTAGAAAAAGAATCATCAATTCTGAGCGCGGATTCGCGTTCGGCGGGGTCTTAACCATATTATAAATGAACATTTGAATATAGAAAAAAAAAATTGTGTTTTTATTAGCACTTTTTCGTGAATTTTTACTATTTTTGACCTGTTTTTTGAGGTTAGGAAATTTCTGTGATGTTATAGCTCAATTCTGACACCCGATTCGTGATCAGGAGGCAAAAATACTACGGATAGCATATGTCGCATGAAAAGTACACCCTTTTTTTTAAATTTGTTTACATGTGTATTGTGAAACGAACAGTTTTAAACTACAATATAATAAATAATAACTTGGAAATAGCGCAGCATTTTTTAAACAAAATTAAAAGTACATTTATTTGTTCTTAGAAATAATATTAGAAATTAAATGTATATTTGCAATTTCTAAAATAAGTATTCAGTGTCGTCAAAATTCTTAGGTTCTTAGTGACACTTTCTCCCTCTTCCTCCACCACTGATTGACAGATTTATTCAGTGAATTTTTACCTTTAATTGGTTAAACCATTAAGATTCATCAACACGTCAAGTATCTTCACAGATATTCAAAAAAATCTGACATATTTTTCCCCTTCAATTTTTATTAAAAAAAAATTTTTTTTTATCACACATTTACTTACTGACCTAATTTTGATAATTTTTTGAGATAGTCGTTACGGTACAATATTCGAATATATTCTAATAAAATAAATATACCGGGTGTTACACATAAGCTGAGAAATCTGTGATAGAATACCTTTAAGGTTATTTATTAACTTTACTGTTATCTTTTTTTTACAAGAAGTTGTATTAAATTTGATTTTTTTTAATATTTTTTTAATACAAATTGTCAATTTTATGATTGTGAACACAGTCACTCGTATCAAAATGAGTCCAGAGTACCCCGTTGTTTATTTTGATTTTTTCTTTCGAAAAATTATATTGTATTAATTACATTTTTTAATAACCATTTTTGGCTTATTTTTACGAGAGGTTTATTACTTCCCCATAGATTTCCCACCTCATCTGTAACACCCTGTATAGTTAATAGAAATTATAGCCCGTTACACCTGGCATTGCATTAGCTGTTTATCTTTATTTATCAGTATCAGATTGTTATATCCTTTCTTTAAGAAATGCTTCGAATGCTTGTGAAATGAATATTGTACACCCGATTCCGATATACAGTGTGCTAGAATAAGCTTATGACTAAAACTAAAATTTCTATTTGGAATTGTTACATTTGTACTTAATTCACACTCTGTTAAAAGTTTACTCTAATTTAATCGTATTTTTTAGGCTAAACATGAAAACATCTGTAGAAGTAGATACAACAACCTCCACCTTGCCGACTGGTAAGATTTTCATCAGTTTTACTAGGTATTGTACTAGGTTTGGTTTCTCAACAGATGTAAGTGTGCTATGTACTTATATTAATGTAACGTAACAATGTAACTAAGAGATTTTTGTATCTATTTAGTTTGTATATCTATAACTAAGGAATAATGCCAATAAAAAGACTAGATTACAGTACACCTAATAAATAGTTCATAGTTATTAAGTAATATTAGGATATAATAGATTATTATTTTTTCAAATATATATTTTATTAATAGGTCTGGTATTTTTACTTATTTTTAAAGGTATTGCTAATTCAGATAAATATAAAAATGTTTCTTTCAATTCTGTCAATTTAAGTCAAAAAATGCCCTTCGATATCAAAAATCTAGGGCTAGGGTATCTAAAATATCATAAACCAGATTCGTGACTACATGCCCCAACTAACATTGAATTATACTGGCAATAGTAAAGTCCTTAGTTCTTGTTGCTCTAACATCACCCTTGAGAAAGTTCAACTCGCAAAAATAGTCACTATGTAAATAGATCTCTTTGCCGATAGCGATGTTAGGATAACAATAATACAATATTTTTCTTTAAAATATTATATTATCTAACAATTTTTAATATGTCATGTAGGTACTATAAGCATTTTTCCTATTTTTATTTGAATTAGCTTAATATCTTTAAAATAAAAAAAAAATACTCAGATGTGTAGGTATAGGTCAATAATTCAGATTAAATATTCAACTTGTATGTAAATAGTAAACAGAGGTAATAAAATATAAAAAATAACATTTTTCCATTAATTATGGGTCTATCCATCGGTATATCGTCTTTTGTTTTCAAGATACAGGGCTTCTAAGTTATTTTTTTTTAATTTTTACCAGTATCTCCAAAAGTAATCCACGTGCATTGAAATTGTGAAGGTTATTCTCTTGAGTTTTCCACAGTACATATTTCTTTCTTGAATGTAGACTGTTTGTTTAATGTTTTTACTTAGTTTTTGCAATTATGTTAATAGGGCATATTAGTTATTTTATAGGCTGTAAGTGGTCGAAAGGGACGGAGGGAATAAATACTGCAATTTATCTGAGAAAAATCTGTCTTTTCCTAAGACTGGGTGACTTAAGTGGGGGAACTATTATTTTAAAACAGATTAAACTTAACTGCTCAGCGGAACAAAATAGCGTAGTGATGTGGTGGGTGAGAGGACTGAAAATTATCAGGATACGCAGAAATATGTTTTATCTATCTCTTCCGAGATCTCTTCCTTCATCTATGCATTAAGCACATATCTACCATAATAAAAAAAGACTTAGGTGAATACTTAAATAAATTTAATATGCTTTGTCGATCACTTTTGGAAAATATAAATTTAAAAAAAAAGATATTTTAACGCGCTGTACCTTTGACACAAATGATGATAGATTATATTATTAGTTCATAGAAGAACATCATATTTTTAATATTGTATTAAAGGCGAGGAATAACCTATGGTGATACCTTTTTTCCAAAAAAAAATGATATAAAATTTTAAAACCTAAACATTTTTTGATTTGATTCTAAAAAAAGGTCACGCAGTCAGCTACTTGCCGAAATAAAATTTTATAACCTGAACACTTTTTAGTTTAATTCTAAAAAAGTAAAACCTAAACACTTGATTTCATTTTGTCAGATCTTGCCGAGGCCCCCCGATGTCGTAAGGCCCAGGGCTATAGTCCCCGTACCCCCTCCTAAAGCCGGGCTTGATTGCCCTTAGAGTCACGTTATATTTAGTTTATTTGAAAGACTGTATGTATGTATATAAAAAAAGATTTATGTAGAAACAAAAGTACATTATTTATTTCACTGTAAATCAAATACAGTCAGAAGCAGATTTCATAAGTTTGATTTTATGATGATTGAAATAGTATTTGTTTCACTTTTATTCAAAATTTAATTAAAGTATAGATAAGAAAATTATTATATTTCTTTTAAATATTAATGCAAATTGTAAGATATTTTAATTTAAAAAATATAAAACAAACAAAATATTAAATAAAGTTCAATTATGTCTAATACTCGGTCTAATATCTGTAATTATTGCAGTTTTATTTTTTTGTATATTAACAATTATAAATTTTAACGAAAGTCAAAATTGGATATTGTAAAGTATAATGATTTTCGCACATGTTAGGGCAAGTTTTTTAATTCATCAAGAAAAAATTCCATGAAACGGTGCACTGAATCAGCCACTAGTGAATTTGACGGAACACCAATGGTTTGATTTAAAACAACAATTGTTTTTTGTTTTTTTTTCGCCTAATCTTTCTACTTTAACAAATAATAAAAACAGAAACTATACCACAAATGTATAACTTCAAACATAGACATCTTAAAATATTTTTCTTTATTAGTCTAAAACAACTTTTACTTACAACAGTTACGTGCGTATTTTCGCGCAACTGTTTCCACAAAATTCTTATTTTTTTTAACGTGATGTTTTTGTCTATTGTACAAATACAAGATCCGCTGCAATTATCTTTTAATGCTATGTTTTAAATATTAGATCTTTGACAAGTGATTGACAAAATCAACAATCTTGATTTAAGAGAATCGTTGACACATAACCTCAACTTATAGGTACCATTTACTTTTTATTGTGCGCATTTTCTGAAATCGGTTTAAATAAATAACTAATTTAAATAAAGTTTTATTGAGATTTTGATAAGAGCACATTAATTAAGTTAGAAATTCAAAAATCCTTACATCAGACGAGGATTCATCAACATTTCTTTAATTTCAGATGTGGATTCTGATGACGATTTCGGCCCGCTAAGATGTTGGGACTGTAACGTTAACTTTACGGAAAAGCACTACCTATATTCTCATCTATTCCACCACATAAAACAACCCTACGTAATACTCGAACGTACTACGTTACCCCCCCTCAAGCTAACTCTGAAGAACAAAAGCGGAAACAATTTCGAAGTCATAAACTCCCCAGTACATTCGAACCCTTCTTCGGTCGGCTCCCCTAGTGAAACCGTTGCGAAATCGGCTTCCAATCTGGCAGAAACCAAAGAAGAACCGGACAACGCCGAGGGCGGGGAAGGGGGAGCGATAGTGGAGGAAGTGACCAAAATAGAAGCGGAAGATGAGGAGGCGAGGGTCAGTTTTTCCCCGAACTTCGCGGACATAGGGACCTCCTCGCCCGCTAATAGTGACACCTCCAACGCCGCCGAGAAGACCACGGACAGCATAATCACCTCTAACTCCGCCGGCGAGAGCAATGCCTCCGAGTACGGGAGCATCCCCGGAGCGGAACCGACGCCGCCTCCGGAACCGTCGCCGGATTATCCCAAGATCAGGATCAAAACCACCGGATTGCTCAAAGAACCCCTGACTATAACCGAAATTACAGACGACAACCCAGATGGAGACCCAAGTTACAGTGAGTATCAAATGGAAACTGAATTATATTTATGTATCTGCTACCATACCGTTATTGCCACACATAATAGCTCCGTTTCTGCAGCAGTTGAGGACCGATTTGAAACTATCACAGATGTTTGACCAATTGGTTTGTGACCTTAAACTCGCTGAAAGTATATGACAACTTAAGTGGCCAAGTATATCTGATAGTTTGAAGACAGTTTGATAGAGCTGCAGAAACAAACCTATTATTTATTACACAAATAGTTCGTGGGATTTTTCTATGTAACTTTTAACTGCGATGTTACTTCTCTAAATTCCGTGTCATTTCACTGTGGACAAATCAACCAGAAACTGCCAGAAATGAAACAAATGAGCGTTGGAAGAACGCCCAACATATTCATCTGAGTGTTCTAGATTCAAGAAATAGACTTTTTGGCATTTTAGCGAAGTACAAATTCCAGTCAAACAAAAATATGTTGATGGTTTATATCAACTAAACGTATCGCAACATATTCCACTATATCCACCCCCGAAATATTAATAGATTTGACAAAAAATTGTCGCGTAACCTAGCTAATACACTTGGTAATATAATTCGGAAAACGGAGTCTTCATCTATAACATTTTGTATTAACAAATTTGTTAATTCCGGTCTTCTACAGACTGCAGTCAATTCAACAATCGTATCTACTTTTGCAAAAATGTTTTATCTGCTCCCACTATAGGAAACAGACTATTAATACATTGTTTTTAAGGAGGTAAGTGGATTTTACCGTAGAAGTGGAGGTTGCTGTGGACATCGGGAGGTAAGTGAGGTAACTTACCTCCCTAGGGAAAAAAGCGATTTCGAGTTATAAATGCATATTTTATGAACAAATAAATAGAAATATTTTATGAACATTACATTTTATTAATTATTATGAATGGATATTTATAGTAATTGTACAGTTTGTTAAATTTAGTAACATTTATAAAATCTGGATAATTATTCCCTTCGCGTTTACTAATTGTCACATTTTTCTCAAAATGATCTGACCGCTCCATTTCAATCACCGGAGGCTCAATATTATCTCACTGATCAATTAAAACAGCATGCATGATGCGACGTACTACTAGAACCTGGAGTTGAAGTGTCATTCTAAAGAATCCTGTTGTCTATTCCATTTTTGTTACTTAAACTGTCAGCAACGTAACTTTCTGCAATTGTGACTGATTTCCACCCACCATGTCTCTTGATTGCTAATACATCAACTCCTATATTAGCCAGCAACGTTGCCGATGTTCGTTAGAATGAATGGCCTGTATATGTTTCAGAATGTTCTAGTTTATTAGGAATCATAGAAAGGGTATTCTTGCCGACTGTTTTTTTTGTAACATCTACCTGTTTGATAGCGCATAAAAAGCATGAAATTTCAGTTTTAATTTCCAATCTAATCTTGACATATTTCTTGAGAATTTCTAGGTGAGGAACAGAACCCAGACGAGACGTAATTATAAACGTACGTGACATACCATTTTTATATTCTGGAATTGTAACTACAATAATGTCATCGAAATTTTTGAAATTGACGTCCAAAGTAAGTTTGCATAACTCATCAGAACGGCATGCTCCTGCAATGCCTAAGACCGTCACTACCTTCATTAGCAAATGTGTTATCGGGTGCCTGAACGAGAAAATCGTTGACTTGTTCTCTTGTAAAAACGTTTGACTTTTTAGGTGTATAGCCGTCATTCTTACGTTTCAAAAATGCTCTCAGCTTGGGATATTTTGATATATCCACGTTCTCCTCTATGAAAATAGTTGAAATCATTTCTATTTGAAAATCACTCATTTCGAAATAATAATTCAAAACCAGTAAAATTGGAGCTTTTATATAGTTTTGTGTCGTATTCCACCCTTCGAGCGAGCTTCAGGATTTCAGAACACCCAGTATGTTGATAGAAGTAGCCTTGTACCTACGGATATGCCGGAGACCGTTGAATTGAAAAGACCAATTTCACCGATGTTTCCAATGTCACCCACATCGCAACCGATCTCGCCTGGGTCTACCATCCCGGCGCGCAGTGTCCACTGCCGCGACTCTCGCAACCTGCAGACGAACCCCGGGACACTTCGAGGCGATATTTGGAAACTATCATCTGAATTTTTACCACACTTTTGAATTGGTCAAGGACGCTATCGTCAATAACTCCAAAAGTTATTGAGCGATCGGTGTCAAAATTTAATGTAGCACTCCTCAAGTCGCTGGCATTAATCATTATCTTACTAAATTTTCGTCCGAATCGAATGAGCCAAAACGCCGTTATACGGGGAAACGCGGATTTCACGTTTTCCGCGTTTTTAGCCGTTCCACTCATTAGATCTCGGCCGAACCCTCCAACCACACTAGAGCATCCCTAGGTAGTTGTCATATCCAAATTCGAGCCGAATCGCGCGACTACTAACGGCCAGCTAAGCCATAATAGGTTTTCATGTCTTCATAGCTGTCGCCAAAGGTGTCCGCGTGATCTCGACCGAACACTCCAACCACGGCACTACTTCATGCCGTGCATCACCCATCCACTGTAGAACAAAATCCATCCAGTAATAAGACCTCCGTAAGCCCTTTTACGAAGACGGGGAAAATTTCACCGATGTTTCCAATTTCCCCGTCTTTGGGCCGAAAGGACCGTCTTCCGAAGGTCCCACCGCTCTGGCGGTTGGATGCGATGCTCGGTAGCCTAAGCCGAGACCGCGGGTAGAGCTTTTCGCAAAATGGGAGAAAACTCCAAAATCCCTGACGCCGACATCGACTATCCGGAGAGGCCAGAGGGGAACGAGATCCGACGTCGACAGCGACGACGGGCGCTTTTTACTGGAAATTTTGCCGGACAATTCACGAGCGGTCCGCCAAAAGTATGGAGATTTTAAAAAAGCGATCGAACATCAACTTCCGACGTTTGCAGTTCTTTTAGTGGGAGTACATGGTACAAGAAAGCGATACAAAGCGATTGTGTAACAAATCTCATTCATGGTAAATAACTTGTATATGTTAATTGTGAACCATTATTGTCTGTTAATTATGTTCAATATATACTTTTAACATATCTTCCACGGTTTGATTGAAAAAACCCTGTCATCAAGCTCAAGAACTTTGGAGCTCAAGCTCACAGGCTCACTTCACGAGGCTTCCGTCGAGGCTGCCATTCCTCGACGCGGATATTATAGTGCCTAGCAACCACCACTCGCTTCACGAGACATACCACCTGAGGTAGCCTAGCCTGAGGTGAAGACCCTGTTTGATAACCCCCTGCATCGAAACAGCGGTAAATTTCCAGGATCCATTTGAGACCTGCGATACCGTCCGGGACTGACCACCTCCGACGAAGATCCTGTGCGATAACCTCCTGCATCGACACAGCGATACTCCAGGCTCCTCCAGAGACCTGCGTACCGCCCGAGTTGGCCAACCTGAGGCGAAGATCCTGTTCGATAGCCATCTGCATCGAAACAGCGATACATTCAGGCTCCTCCAGAGACCTGCATACCGTCCGAGGCTGAGAACCTTTGACGAAGACTTTGATTCCGATCGTGCCGGCTCCATCGAGAGACTCGCACCTCGGTACAGAGTACATACTCCTACGAGTCCTATCAATTCAGACTATCGAGATCTGCAAATCCGAGGCAACTTTCCTCGTCAAACCTCTAGGCGGTCACTCGTCGAGGCAACTTTCCTCGTCAAACCCCTACGAGGCATTTTCTTTGTGACCCACGGGCACAAAGCAATAGTACGCACGTTATTGTGGCGGCGTACTTCCAAATTTAGTAGAAGTTGTCCTTGCTTATAGGGCTTCCTCGAGAGACCCACATTTAATAGTAGAGTCAGTGTTTTCTACCAGACGTCTACAAGACTTTCGGAGCAAAAGAGCTTGCTCCGACATTGTCGTACGGGATAAGATGTATCCCTGCGACGCGACTTCGATATCCAGTGCTACGAGGATTGGTGCCCTCGAAGGTACAACAAATAATAAATCACATCGTGATTCGATGATCAAGACTGAGCTGGACGAGACCTCGTTCCCCACAAACGCTATCTCGGTGCTTCGTGGAGAGTCTAAGGAGCCGAAGGTGGTAGCTCGTAGTAGTACGCGGCACGGCGACGCCACAGTGCCGTACAGGCTGAGGTCCGCGACTACACGAGTCATCGATACCACATGGAGTATCCCTCAAGACGTGCCCACGGAGACGAGTAGTATGTCAGAGTTACCACGAAGTGGGTCACCCACAGATACTCGGGACGAGGTTATATCTACGTACCAACTGGTACGGGGAATCCCATGAGCCCAACCACGGTTCGCGGTCCGGCCCCGATAGCGGCCTACCTCCTCGGGTGTTCCGGAACGTGGAGCCGTCGGCGACGGCGATACAGTTCATTCAGCTTTTCTACGAAATGGTATCCAGCGGGAGCAATGCGCATCTCGTTCGGGTGCCATGGTAAGCGAAAACCCCTTAGCCGACTATGTCGTAAGTGACGTAGCCGGCTCTTTTTATCAAAGCAATTCTGGTACATCTCCCGTCCACTCTCAGGATTTCCCCCGAACATACGATCACCGCCTAAGTGGTCCCTATTTAGAAAGTCTAACCCGACACGGCGCTCAACGTGGGGCTCGCCATTCTTCGTCGAGATCTCCCCCGCGAGCTCGTGTCCTAGACACCACGTCTGTAGGACATATCCACCACAGACAGCAGTCATTTGAGAATATCCTGCGACCTGGAGTCCCTAGTGACGATCCACTTGAACTCCGTGCGTCACTATCGCGGACCCCTGTCAAGGGAACTGACATCCCAGATCATAGATCGCGACATGGCGCCCAACGTGGAGCTCGATTAGAACTCCCGATGTCTCCACCAAGGACCCATGTCGACCAAACACAACCTTCCGATCATATTACACGACATAGCGCTCGACGTGCTGCTCGAAGTCCTGCTTCGACGTCTTCACGGCGAGCCCATGTTGCCGATTCTCCCAATAATTC